TGATTAGAAACTTGCCAAAGGATTGGATTTGAATGGAGTAAAAACTATTGGGACTATGAAGTTGAGAAGGTTTTGGAAAATGAGAGGGTTAAGATGTTACGGGACTTTAAAATCTAAACAGACAATCATCTTATTCATAACATGCTTGATGTAACAATTATTGACGAAACAAAAGTATGATTCACCAATCTTGCTATTCTGGATGAGGCCAGGATTGAGGAAAAACAATGGAGAAAAAAATTATGAAATACTGCAACTTGCAATTTGACACTGAACATTTATGGAAAAGGAAATCTGTTGTTATACAAATTGTGATTGGAGCACTTGGAATGATACCTAAAGGATTTCCTTGATATCTGGAAATACTGAATTTATCAGACCTGAACCACCTTCCCTGGAACTGTCTATATTCTTAGATGCTATCTTAATAATTCTTAGGTCCATGGTTAGGACTTGAATTATTAAATTTCTACCAGCCTTTGACTATGACTCTAACTACAGATTACTCATACATAACCATTAATAATTGCATGTTGTCAAATCTTTCCAGACTCATGCAGCTAATAGCAAGACATCGAAACCCAATAAATGTACATAATAAAGTAAGAAAATCAATCCTTAACCACAAATAGTATCATAAGAGCAAAATAAAAACAACAATTGTAGCAGAAGTAATACTCAGCTATAGATGTCAAGCAACCACTTGCCAAAGCCACCGTGAAAAAGTTTGGTCTTCATCTACTTCTGAAGCACTATCACCAAGGGGCCAGCCTTGTTTCTAGAGAGAGAAGGGGGGGGGCGGGTTTAAAGCACTGGTGCCATGATTGAGAAACAACGTTTTCTGGCATCAGCTCCCCTCACTTCACTGCATTGGGGTCCCACCTCTAGGTGGAATAGGTGGCCCTGATGATGTATTTTATAAGTCAAAGTAGAACTTTGAATGGCGCCAAGAAATCTACTAGTAACTAACCCACGACATGCCAGATAGAAGTAATCATAGCAACTACTGTATGCCAGCCAGCAAAAGGCTACTGCATTGTGAACCATCTGTCTTTTCTCACTGATTTTCAAAGGCATGTAAAACACATTGCAGAAGTTTATAACCTTGTGGTGAAAAGGGAATGAATCACTATGGTGGGGCTTTCCACTTCAGAAGGGCCATAATTGGTTTACCAATCACCCTCCTGGCCACAAGAGCCAACAATCTATCCAGTTGTTGGAGTTCTGGAGACTGACAGAGAACAATATACAACTACGTCTTGCTACGTAACGTAACCTGTGTTGTTAGGGTTCAATTTCCACCTGTTTCATTCCATCAAGATCCCGATAGCCTTCAAACAGTGGGAGACAATTTATTCAGGATCTCCAGTGAGATTCGGACACTATAAAGCTGAATATCATCAGTCTCTCATGGAAGGACCTCTCTCAGCAGTTCCACACACACATTAAACAGCAAGAGGAATAGACTGATTCCTTAAGCATCCCACAAGGAAGTGACCACCAGGCAGATATCTCCTTCCCTACCACTGATTGGAACTGCCTACTGAGCTAGCAACAGAACCACTGCAAAACAATGTCCTTGGTCCCCTACCTCTACAGGAAGCCTAGGAAGATTCTACCATTAATAATACCAGAAGCTGCAAGCCCAGTAATGTGCTGGAGCCAGCTCACACTGGCTCATGAGAACCAATTATTATTTTCTTTGGAATATTGCAAGCCATTTGACAGCAGAGGTAAGCCTAGCATGCCAATCAGACTAGACACACAGCATAGCAGCAGTAATGGAGCGGGCAGAGTCAATCCTTAAAACATTTAGCAGCACACCACTGCCTATGCCCCAGGCCCAAGCTTGAACTCTCCCTGAAAGGGATACAGATAATTTACTTTCTATGAAGTGCAGTTGAATCTCCACCATGCATTCAATGAAATTCTGTAAGATGGTAAGATAGGAGGCTGGGTTATAATTCTTCTCAAAACACTGCAGGATCCAAGGAGGACATCTTATGGACTGGGTTCACACAACAATTTCCTTCAAAACTACCACATACTCTCCTGAAGAAAGACACCAATCCTCCTGGATTCAGGTCATCATGTCCATGTAGGAGGCAGGCAGATCAGCACCAAGATGCACTATTTCCTCTTTTACCTTTTTGTTCTATTTCCCCCCCATATGATAATCTCATCTCAATGAAAACCTTTTCTTTGTCCTTCCTCCCAAATTCAATTGACCTTCCTTCACTTTATTTAAAAATTGTACATATAATAAAACAAAAATAAAAATAGCCACTACCACTAAATGACCCTACTAAAAAATGTAAAGAACATCCACTCCCTCACTTATTCCTAATTCAGATATAAATCAAATTTAACCAATCTTGGAGAATTTTCCATAATTTTGCTGCTACAAATCTCTTCAGTATTCTCAAAACTCTAATCTTTCTTATTGGAGGAATGTATTATTGAACCTTAAGAAACCCACAAACTACATGAGAATTTGATCTCCTCATAATTATGCCATTCACAAAAATAAAAAGTGCTTCTTGGATAGGGAATTCCCATGTCTCTGTCTCAAGCAGGACGTTCCTGAGGAGAGAGGCTTTTAGCATGTCGCAAAAGAAGCCATTCCCAGAACCACTCCCTCTCCAGGTGGAACAACTTTTATTCTTCTGAAAACAACACAAAGTTCTCTGAGAAAATGAAAAACAAGCTCAGTACAGAGCCTTCCTGAACCTCTGAAAGAAAGATTATAATCTACATGAAGCTGGGAAAAGGCCCAAAGCAAGAAAGGGACTCTGGCTTCAGTCATTAGATTATCATAAGAAACTTATCGTAGGCAAGTTGAGCTAGAAATACTGCATGCAATTAGTTATATTTTGAAGCTGTGCATTTTTAGTGTAATTTAGTACTTCTGATATGTATTGTCTAATGCAAACTCAGTGTTTTTGTCTTCTGACAGACTGGAACTCTTTAACAATAGAATTGGTTCTAAATAGGAGCAGGCCAGCATTAGCCAAACCTTTCTATTTTCTTATGGGAGATCCTTTTAAAATGCAATCTGAGATTCAGCCACTTGTTTTTTCTTTAATTTGCTTTGCCTTTGAATATTTTGCTTCTGACTATTTAAAGCCAAAAATAATGTTTACATTCTCCCTTTTGTTTTTAAATAAGGTTTTATTTCATTTGCCTCCTGTGAGATTGATCCAGCTCCCCAAAAGGGGAAGAGGGAAGAACAGGCTATCTTCCATAACCAAACAAACCCCAATACTACATGGACAGAAGATGGTGCTACAGAATTTATCTTATTTATTTATCCCTCTGTTTTCTTCATTTTAAATTGACCAGAAAGTGACAGAAGGTGAGAAAAGCTTATCCTACTTGTATGCCAGGATTAGTGGAGAAGATGCTAAGGGAAACATCCCCAGCAAGAATTACTAAACTGCATACAGGAGGTGGAGCTAGACCCAGAAAGGGAGAAGAGCTGAGACTGCCAACCTTTCATCTTGCAGGCTTAGTCCTGCTGTCACAAACATATAATAATTAAAAGCACAAGGATAACACCAGAATCAAAATGGCAACCCCAACCCCAACACTGTACAAGTAGTCCTTGACTTGCAAGCACAACTGAGCCCAAAATTTATGTTGCTGAGAAATTTGTTAAGTGAATTTAACCATTTTACGACTTTTCTTGCCACACTGGTTAATTGAATCACTGCAGTTGTTAAATGAATCTGGTTTCCCCATCGACTTGTCGGAAGGCTGAAAAAGGTAAGCATGTGGCCCCAGGAAACTGCAACCATCATAAATGCAAGTTGGTTGTCAAGCATCTGCATGTAAATCACGTGACCAGGCAGATGCTGCAATGGCCATTTAGTGTGAAAAATGGTTGTGAGTCACTTTTTCAGTGCCGTTGTAACTTTGAATGCTCACTAAATGAACGGTTGTAAGTCGAGGGCAACCTGCCTGCCCAAGGTTCCCATGACTACTAAATGTGTGCATTATATGGTTCAGTCAGCACTGCTGGCCCTACTAAAATCTACTTTCCTGCTGGAGATGGCTATCCACCTCAGAAGCCGGTTCCTTCTCCTGCTGTTCTTTGCTAGCCGTATTCATTTTTCCACTCTGCCTAAAATATCAGTATTTTTCTTTACAAGGGTGAAGGGGGGAAAAAGCAGTTTTTAATTGGTTTTCTCTTTCCTTGGGAGTTTTAATCTAATACAGGTAGTCTTCAGCTTACAAAAATTTGTTTAGTGACTGTTCAGTTACAACGGCACTGAAAAAAGTGGCATGACCATTTTCCACACTTACAACCATTGCAGCATCCCCCATGGTGACATGATTAAAATTCAGACGCTTGGCAACTGACTTATATTTATGAGCCTTGGTGGTGCAGTGGTTAGAGTGCAGTACTGCAGGATACTTCTGCTGACTGCCGGCTGCCTGCAATTTGGCCATTCAAATCCCACCAGGCTCAAGGTTGACTCAGCCTTTCATCCTTCCAAGGTGGGTAAAATGAGGATCCAGATTGTTGGGGGACAATATGCTGACTCTGTAAAACCACTTAGAGAGGGCTGTAAAGCACTGTGAAGTGATACATAAGTCTAAGTGCTATTGCTACTGCTATGTCCCAAGGTCATGTGATTACCTTTGGTGACTTCCTGACAAGCGAAGTCAATAGGGAAGCTTAACGACGGTTACTAATGTAACAGCTGCGGTGATTCACTTAACATAATTCACTTAACAATTGTGGCAAGGAAGGTTGTAAAATGGGGCAAAGTTCACAACACATGTCTCACTTAGCAACAGAAACTTACGATTGAGATCATAAGTTGAGGACAACTTGTATAGAGAGCGAGCAAAGAAACAAGATAGTGACAACACAGCAAAAGATGAAGCAAATCCATCCAGGGAGTGATCTGCTGAGATCCTATTCAAAGCCCCCTTAAAATCTGAAGTAAAATCTTTCCCTTCCAGCAAACTAGAAATCTCTTCCCATGGCTCACCTGTAGGGACTCTTTAGACTCCTCCGGTTCTTCAATGCTTATATGGAGTTGTGGAAGGTCTTCCACTGGGGTCATGGAAAAGGGGGCCATTGGCTCGGGAGCAGCAGCAAGAGGAGGCACCACAGGTAAGATCTCTGTCTCCTGGCGTGAGGGCCGTCCAATGGGTGAAGGGTTCTGTAGTGACTGAATGGTGAAAGTGGAGTACAGTCCGGAACGCATGTATTCATTTCGACTGCTACGTGGGGCACCTCCACCTCCTCGTGGAGCTTTGGAGGTACCAAAAGCTCCTTCACCCCCTTTGGCCTCACCTGGGACCTGCTCAGTTTTTTTGGTACCTGCCTCATCCTTCGTGCCTTCTATGCTCGAAAGTTCCGGGTAAGAGACAAACTTGTAGACAAATTTCTGACCACTGACTTTACGGATGATATTCTGGAATGGACAGAAAGGATGGCTGAATTAGAGCAGCAAAGACAAGGTAATCCAGCTACATTTTCTTGAGACAACATTCTACATAACATTTTTTGGAAAGATATTTGAATTTAAAAATTGAATGTATTCTGAAATGAGCTAGGCTAATACTTTCTGACTTGAATAAATATGAGTTATTTGCATAACTTTGTGTGTTTTATTCAGCTTTTGGGACAGGTACAAATAAGGTGCACATATGTGTGTATCTGTTAAAGGAGAGTAGCTTTGAAATCTTCATACAATAATAATGCATAGATGGATTACTATGTAGTAACCATGAGATTATCTTGTTCAATGAGTCTTAGTTTAAAGTATAGATTTACAGAAGCAGAGAATGAAGATACAGGGATACCAACTCTCGTTTTATAAAATCTGATATTAGGTAGTTAAAGGAGTAAGGAACTTGTAGCTCAGATTAGCTGTTGCTGAATTTCCAACATTTGGTAATGACTGGTAATTGGAGCTACTGGTAGATTAGCAATAACTGAGAGCCACTAGGTGTTTGCTTCCATTTATATATTCTATAGATTCAAAAAGTTGGAAGGAGCTGTTGAGGCTATCGGAATCTGCTCCTGTTTGATGCAGAAATCCTAATTTAGCATCCCAAGATAAAGCCTAGCATCCGTTGGAACAAATACAGGAATTATAGTGTGTTAGTATAATTCCACTGTCAAGCTGCTCTTGCTATTCAGAAGCATTACCTAACCTTCAATTGAATTCTGACTTCTATTGTATTTTATTTCCTGCATTCAGAATGACAGAGAATGGGTTTTGGCCTCATATATATAAACCACAATAGGCTTTCTTCCAAGGGGAAAAAAATCAGGTCGCTCTGCCCTGGAAAATGGGGTAAAGGTAAAGATTCCCCTCGCACATACGCGCTAGTCGTTTCCAGCTCTAAGGGGCGGTGCTCATCTCTGTTACAAAACCAAAGAGCCAGCGCTATCCAAAGACGTCTCCGTGGTCATGTGGCCGGCATGACTAAATGCCAAAGACACACGGAACACTGTTACCTTCCCACCATAGTGGTCCCTATTTTTCGACTTGCATTTTTACATGCTCTCAAACTGCTAGGTTGGCAGGAGTTGGGACAAATAACAGGAGCTCACTCCATTACGCGGTGATAGAGATTCGAACCGCCGAACTGCCGATCTTTCTGATTGACAAACTCAGCATCTTGGCCACTAAGCCACCCCATCCTTGTTCTCTTACTGAAACACCAAACAATTTTCAGAGATTTCATATGAAGCTTATCTTTCCAGGCATAAGAATACACACACAAAAAAAGGGGGAGGGGAGAAAAAGAAACCTGGGAGTCTCAGAAGACAAGTATGTACATTTAGCATTTAACTCTTGCAGAGATTTTCAAAACATAGCCTGTACTCCATCATTTACTCCTTCCCTATTGATCTGTAAGAAAAGTTCATCTACCCAAATATTCTGTTAGGTTTCCACTGCGCTCTCCTTAATTAAGGCTGGGCTGAAATGGAAAGCAAAGCAGGAACTGGCAGATTCATCTGGAATTTACAAAGTGGTCTCTCACTTTGTCATAGTAGTAACGCAGGGCCCGGCTCAGCTTGTCATAATTCATGTTGGTTTTGTTCTTCCGCAGACCCCAGAGTCGCGCAACCTCTTCTGCATCCACCAGCTTGAACTCCCCATCATTGGATGTCCATGCAATCAGATGTCCATTGCTCTGCTGTTCCAGCAATTGCAGAAGAAACTGCCACAGAGTGACTGAAGGATCCATGACTAAAGGAAAAAAGGAAGAGGAAAAGGACAGCCAATTCAGGGATACGGATGGTTGAAGGGCACAGTCCTTGAAGGTAACAAGTAATGTCTGCAAATTAGAAGACCTCAGTAATAAGTGCTATGGTTCAGGTTGACTAGAAAGTGTAGGTGATGGAGAACTTCATTCACAAAGAGAAAAAAATAGCATCAAGGAAAAAAAAATTGGGCTGAATCATTCTTTTACATACTTGCTTTCTGCATGCAAGGAAATGGGGATGAGGATGGGGCTCATTACAAAGCATCCAGTTATTCTAGCCTCCCTGATCACTCACAAATGTACTCTCACACACCCATGCTGAAGAGATTAAGTTAAAAAAAAAAGTGTAACTACTTGATTTGGCTAAAACCAGTTTGGTGACTACTTCCAGATGTGTTTTGTAAGGCTGTCTCCAGTCTATTGAGCTGGGAAGCAAAGAGTAGCCTAGGATGGAAAAAAAACACTCCACAAATACCATGAACATCTTGGCTGCTTGAGAGTCTTGATACATAATGTTTAAACAAGCTATTGCTTCATGGGTTTCTTCAAAGACATTTGATTTTTATAGGGAAACTCTGAAGATAACAGTAAGCTTTTGTCCAGGATCTGCAGATTTAAAAGAACTGCAATCCTCAGCCTTCCTGGAGGGTGTTTCATCAGTTTTCAAACAACAGAATGGATTCTTTCTTTCTTTCTTACACTGGACTTTTGAGTGCTGGGTGAGAAATGTACTCAAAATAGTGAGCCTAAGTTAGTGGAACCAGAGCCAAAAAGGTATTTATCTTCATATAATTAAAATTTAAATGCATGGAATTTGCCCACTTACTCCCTGCACTTTTATTAAATTCCTTTTATGTTACCTCAAACCTATAGTTCAGCAGCAGTTTTTGAATGAGTTTTTGGGATAATGTGTAACTCTGGGAGCAATGATTGGAGATTATTGATATAATAGCACACACAGTACTCAAATAACCAAAAGTGAGACCAAAGAGCACTGGCTATGGCTATGATGTCACTCCCTTGCAGGCTTTAAATATAACTTCTATAGCTGTAAATGATTATTTGTGCAATGCTGTTCCTTTATCACTGGAAATTATACAAGCATATCATGCAAAACCTTGATTTTTTTTTTTTGCCAGATATAATCAGGGGGAAAATAATCTCTATCATCAATTATGCATGCAGTAAAATTTCATCAGTTTACTTCATCAAGGACTACAAAGATAACCCTTGATTATCCCAATCTTTGAAAATAATGCTACAACTTGTGCTGGGACATAACTATTAAAATAGAACAATGAGTAACAACAGAGCAGACACCATTTCACCCATCAAAAGAGCTATTATAACAGATGTTGCAATACTACCCATACACATACGGTATGTACACAACTGATATGGGTTAAAAACACAGTTTCGCTTCACAAAATGTCTGGAATCTGAGTAATACTCAAACAAACCAAGGCTCCCTCCCAAAATTAGCCCTGGGAATTGTTCCAAATGCCCTGAAGCAAAATTAATTCATGGAGAGTCAGCAGTCCTATTAAACACCACAAACACAGAGTCATCCTCAGGTTATTCCTGAAGAGCATTTGGCATTTTTTCATCTCTCTCTTTTTTTAGAAAGACTTAAAATATCATATTGTCACCTGAAAAAGGCCTCATATATCCAAGGGGAAAAAGAATGTGATAGCAAGGTCTATCATCTTTTACAATGGGGTTGTTGAAGCCCATATCGAACCTTTGAGAAGCATGTCAGGGGCCAGGCCCCATAAAGTAGGTGAGAACAGATGAAAATGGGTGTAAACAAGAACAAAGGTAACTTTTGTTTTGTATTTTATATGAATGCAAACTGAATTAAAATGTATTTAATTAAGGAAGATTCACTTCCCTGTAGTAAAATTTCCCCTTTCCTCACATTAATTATTCTAACTTAATAGCAAGTTTTGGAAAGCTCCTTGGGATATCAAAGACTATTAAGGGCCTAAACAACCTGTGGGCTGCTGGTCATATATTCTTACTTTAGAATGCAACATTTTTTTTAAAAAAAGAGTTAATTCTAAATTTTCAAAAACAGGGGAGAAGAAGAGCTAAGGATTCATGTTTAAAGATCACTAAGTTAGATGACTTAGTGCCAGTTTATGCAATGAAGGCTTTAGCCAAAGCTTCACAGAAAGAATAAGTTTCAAGAAGGAATTTGAAGGAAGTGATGACACCCATATAGATGTCTAGAAGGAATAAACAAGCAAGGAAAAGGCAGTTGTCTAATTCTTGTAGTCTTTAGTTCTGTAATCACTTTTATTCTGTCAATTATTTCTGATATTTAAAAAGTACATACTAATATCTATCCATTTCAGACATCAGGTACAACATAGGATGAGTTGATCCTACAGTACATCTGAATGCTCCTGTCCTACACTGTGTCTTATTCACACATAACCAAGAGAAATGTGTTGCAGAACAAGACAGTGTGAGGGAGTAAGAAAACAGAAGACTGTATGCAGAGAATATATACAAAGGACCTAGCCACAGGTCATTGTTAAGAAACAGATACTTAGCAGAAATATGTAAGTGGCAGTTTAATGGCATTTGCATATATATCAGTTAGATTTTAAACCATTGTAATTCATGCTACCATACCTTAGCGCCTCAAGCAGCAATCACTAATTTCTAAAATGGAAACACAGAGGTCAAAATTGCAGCTTCTGTTCTGAAAAGACATTTTTCAGCCCAATTGAACACTACAGAGTTGGAGGTATTCAGTGGAAACAAAATGCACATTGCATATGCTCCAAGTCGTTTCAGGAGGCTTAATCCACCTTCCCAAACCTAAATCCTGAACCACAACAGAGATAAACCCCATTCCTTTCTGAGGTATTGTATTCTATTTGTCATATGTATGCATGTGATTTCTATGCATTGTCACAGTGAGATACCTAGCCATCCATTAAAAAAAAAGAATTAGCTTATGTTCACCTCTTTCAATTCCCCAAGAAACACACAAAATACCCAGTTTGTTGTTTCTGATTTGGGAGGAAAAGTATACACCAGGTCTGAGAGAAAAGTCACACAGAGTAAAGGCTTTTTTCACCCACTCATTCCTCTCCTACTGCTTCCTCTGCTCCACTTGTAAATGCCTATCTGGATTTGGCCTAAAGAAAGGATTTTAGGGCTGGATTTCATAAAAATCTCATCAAATGCGATAATCCAGAAGTTCATGTAGTGAAGGCTGTAGGGAAAGCTGGGAAAGACTACAGGCCTTATCAGAAGAGATGGAGGAACAAGTAAATACTTAGAAGAGAGGTGGAAAAAGTCCAGAATTATTTTTGACATCTGACATGGGTGATGGTAAGAGCATTTTTGTAATCTATGTTTTATGGGATTTTATTCTATTTTATGTGTGATGTCTTGGTCCAAACATATCTTGTTTGTATATACACACACACATACATATAGCAAGTAGTACTTGAACAGGAGATCCTAATAAAAATAGCTAATGGGAAGACTCAAGATGTTTTTGTAGGAAATCAATGGGATGAAAGTCCCACGAACAGGCGAGATACTCCATCTCTCCTTTCCAAGTGAAAACAAAATTATTTTAAGGTAATGGAGCACCTGTGACAGAAATCTCCTCTTTGGCTGCTAGGAGACCCCATCACAAATGTCCAGCAAAGGGGACCACAAATAAACACATACAAGTTCCATCCTGTTTGCACATCAATCCTGTCTCTCTCTTTCTCCCAGATTTTAACAAGGATGGGTTCACAATAATGTGAAAATGACTTTAGACACAGATTGGTAGGTAGAGGGACAGGTAATGGTGTGGGCCTTCTTTCTGTCACTTTCCAGTCATGGGAGTGGGAGGTAGCATCATTTGCCCAAAATGCTGCGCCCATCTTTTCCCAGGCTGCCTAACCCAAAAACCAGCTGTCAACCGGGAGGGGGGGGATCGTTACCTTCTGGATCTCTAAGGTCTTAGCCTTAGAGAGGAGGCATGAACCAAGTTCTCTCCTCCTCCCTCCATCGTCTACTACTCACCAGTGAGCATGGCGGCGCCCCCCAACCCAGATCCCGGCGGCTCCATGGGCTGGGTAGGGGGGCCCAGCTCTGCCGCCGGGGGGTAGGTGGCTTGCCAGTCCGCTTGATGTTTCCCAGGAGAGAACGACCCGTCTTGGTCCCCTCGTCCCCACTTTTCTTCTCAGTTCTTCCGCTGGCCCTGTTGCTCTTTCCCACCACCTCTGCTGGTCTCACTTCAGGTTGCCGACCGCTCTCAAGTTGAGGCTCTCTCTCCGCTGGGAAGGATCGCCGTCGGGAGGGCTTGGCGAGGCGAGCTCTCTCGCGTGGGGAGGCGGCGAAGTGTCCCCCGCAAGACCTTGACGTCGCCGGACCGCCTTGCCACTCAGCGTGGGTGCTCTGGGATGTGCCTAGGGAGGGTGAATGGGGGAAGAAGGTGCGGGGAGGGGGGAGAGGGGGCGGATCTGCTCTTCTTCCTGCCTCTGACGAGCCGTGCAGGCCGCTGGTTGCAGCGCCGGGGATGCAGCGGTGACGGCGCCTGTCACATGGAGAGAAGGCGGAGTCGGCAGCGACCCGGACGCCTCGGTCCGTGTCCTCTCTGCCCGGGGCTGCACGGTGTCCGCGGGTGGAAGCGCTCCAGGCAGAGTCCCGGGTCACGTCCGAACCTCGCGGAAGACTGCCGCGAACCCGATCCCTGCTGGAGTGAGAGGCAAGAGAAATTGAGGGCGGCTGGATCTCCAGCTTTGGATCTCTCTGCTCAGGCCGAAGAGATCTATCGAAACCAGGAGGCCGAGGGTTCTTTCCTAAAGCGCGGGCTCCGGAGAGCCGAGAATCCCCAGGCTGAGCTGAGCGCTCTGGACCGGCGGGCTGGAGACGGCGCCAGAACTACCTGGGTTGAAGATGGAGTGAGAAGATCCTGGCGCTCCCCGGCTTCTCGACCTGTTGGATGCCAACTGGGGGAGGAGAGATTCCAGGACATCTAGGCTTTACCTTTGCACGAGGAAGTCCGCAGGGGAGAGGGACGCAACTCCTTCAGCTGTGTTAGGACTGACATTCCCACCATTCCCAGACGCCATGAGGGACACCTATCTGGAGAAAGCTGGGCTTGAAAGTTAGGACCCAGGACAGATATGGGGGGGCGGGGGGGAGCGGCGGAATATCCACTCCTCCGCTTCTCCAGCCAGATACCGCCTCCCCTCCGCCCACCTTACGGGGTGGGGTAGATCTTGCCTTCGTGCCAGGCAGCCCACGACCTTCTCGGCCCCTTCGCCTGATCCTTACTTGCCCCGCGGTTGCCACGGCAACGGAAAGCCACCATGACAGCGGAGGCGAGGGGGGGGAGAGAGAAAGAGGTGGGTGGGAGAGAAATAAGACGCTGCCATGGTAACCTCTGGCCCCAGAAGGATAGGATCCTTCAAAAGACTCCATGCCTTTTTTTAAAGGAAGATTTCCCAGGCTTAGACTGGTTCGGGAAAGGGTCTGAAGGAGGGGTGATGACCTTTAGCCTGTTAGGAGGCAACATTTTATACGATGAGGGGGAAACATTTTTTGTCTTCCCAAACTCCATCAGAATCAGGAGGAACAGCAAGGTCATAGTTCATTTTTGCGATTAGTCATAGGAAATCTACTTCCCACCGAAGCAGCTCATCAGTACAACACAGTGATTATAAACAAAGTTTTGGGTGTTTGTCAGGATTATTAAGGTAAAATGTTTAAATTGCTTTAACCAGAGTTCAGTGAACTATAATCTCATACTGATCTAACAAACAGAAAACCCTACTTTTCAATAGAAATTAAAGGATGTTGCTGTCTTTACTATGCCACTGAATTCAATACACATTACATCCTAAATCTTATTGAGCTAGACAGGCTTTCAATTTAGCAGTTTAATACCATTGGTTTTATTTATATGTGCAGCATTTATTACAGATTCTTCAATAGAATTTCCAGAGAGGTTAAAATTGTTTAAAACATAAAAAAACATTAAAATGTTGACATAAATTTGAATGCAAATGCAAACTGGTAAACATGATACACATTAATTGGTTTTTATATCCCATTTCAGAAAAAGTCATGGTTTAAAAAGGTTATCTAGCCAAGGACATTACAAATTCTTATAAAAATCAGAAACAACTAGTGTTTTGTATTCAAATATATAGGTTGAAATGAAAAGGCATTTTGCATGCAAAAATAGTTAAATTTGAGATTTTATATAACCTAAAACAAATTTATCACTATTTTCAGCATTGTTGGCTCTGGATTGCCATTTAAAGAATCATCTTCTAAGTAGCTATCTTGGGAATTATCATTTGGTGTACTTGTGTTTGCAAAATTTTTCATCTAATCAACTTTTAGGAACTTGGGATTCTATTCTGATTCCCCAACCATTATCATTATTGCCCCTTATCTGGGATTCCTAAGCATGGTTTTGAGAAATTTGCTCCTGAATTATTATTATTTTTTTTATCTTTCCCTCCTTATCTGCATTTTTCTTATACATTTTGTCAGTCCCCCATTTCTCTTTTCCCCAGTTCCAGCCTTCCAGAATGCTGGCCTTGTTTGTTTTCTGGGCCTTGTACATATCACATACACTTGATTGCTGAGAGAAGGAACAGCACACTTTGCAATAGGCTTGAAGGAAATCCATGTTTTCCATGAAGCGAAGAACTGAAAAGTCAATGATAAGAGGCACAGACATGGCTAAAATTATTGCTCTGTGCAAGATAGCAAAATCAAGATCAGTTTGTTCCAGATTTTGGCCAAGAAAAAATTCAGGAGTCTTAGGAGGGAAACAGAATTAGGCTAGTACCATTTACCTCTTCCATTGTAAAGATATATGAGAATTACCTTGGGAGATAGGAGGAAAAGCTGCAGACTAGATAACCATCATGCAAATTGTATCTCAGTTCACAGAAGCAGAGAGGTATAGAAAATGTTTCAGAAAAGACCATGGTTTTCCAGAGAGTAAAAACAAAGGAGAGAAATAATTTCAGACTTGTAAGAGTCTGTTAATGTAATCTTAAATATAGAACTAGTAACCGTTTCTGTGCTTCATGGATTATTTCAAAGGGCTAACATCTACCTTGTTGAGTAGCCCACATGCAAATGCTCACAGTGCCTTCCTACTACCTCTTGAATTTAAGTAATGCATACCTCCCAACCCACCTATCACCTTAGCCACCATGTATTCAGAGTTCTCCATCTTATTTACCTTTAACTACCAGTAACAGCCATGCAAGCTCCAGGTCTTTGCATGGTTCACTCCAAACTTACAATACTTTGCATATCCTTCAGCGGAACTGGATCAATCTACTGGGTTTATTCAGAGACTACACTTAAGCAGATCAGCTAAATACAGAACAGGTTCATTTGCACATGTTAAGCTTGGCAATAATTTTTATTCTATTAGATTTTGTTTTCTGAGTGGGGCTTAACATATTGGATAAGCCAGCCTATTTGAACAACGTATGATTTAATGTTGGACAAATTGAGCTATGAAAAATTGTGATGAAAAGGGGAAGGTACACATAGAAAATGGGCTAACTCAATCAGGTGAAGAGTGTAATTCAGCCTCAATTCATCACTTCTTCCCAATTATCTTTGTTTCTGATTTATACATGGGAATCAGTATTTCATAATCAGGACAGGAAAAATTCCTTTTAAGATCAGAGTAGCTCTGCTGCATACGGTTAAGGCCAATTTTGTCAGCTCTTTTGTTTCTCCCAGTAGCCTTTGGAATGTTTGCAAGATGAACATGGAGACATGCCTCTCATTCACCACTCCACCCTGTTCTTCTGGAAGAAGTATTTGGAGGCATTGTACTTCCAGCCTGGACATATCCTTTATCCAATGTAGTAAGCAGAAGTATTCACAATATTCCAGGTGCAGTGGTATCCCTGATTTGTATAAGGGCATTGCACTGGTTTTTTTCCCCAGTATGTTAACTTGAAAGAATACAACTGAGGTATATGACTGAGGGCAGTTACATTTTGAAAGGGAGGTCCTCTCTTCTATGTTAAAATTTCATTATCAAAAAAGCAATAAATAATCGCAATCCCAAGATTGTTCAGTTCTATCTAATATCAAAAATGTTCATGGAATCTATAAATCATACAAATATATCTTATTTTTATTTTTTATATTTGATTTATTTTGATAGGAATAAAGCTTATAAACATGAAATAAACAAGGGGAAAAAGGAAGGATATCAACTTTGCACAAGTAAAAGCAGAGGTTATTCTTAAAAAATTAGAGCACAACTGAATGGAACAGATACTGAATGGAAAGAAAATAAGAGACGAGTCCAGTACAAATACAGCATCTTTTTTATTAATACAATTATTTTCAAAATGAAACACTAAAATTGGAATCAGACATGGGAGCAAGTTCAAAGAGACTATACCCTCACTGAAAGTGGAGCTGCTCTTCCCCATCATTACCTCATGTCACTGTCCCTCATTCACCAGAGTTTCTCCACACATGCAGCCCCTACTGCAGCAAAAAATCCACAATCAAATTTTCTTCTAGAAAACCAAAATTACTCCTTGTGAATCATAGAAGATGGATTCCTAGAGGAAAACATCTCTTCTGTTCTCCTCAGGCAGATCTTTGAAACCTTGCAGTTCACGTAATCCCTTCAGAAACAAAAGGAAGATGAGACTCAGGTTTCTCTATTGATTCCTTTAATTTTCTTTTACAGCATAATCACTATCTCAAACTATATTAGAAAAAAAAAATCCTCTTTGTCCCATAAAGGAGCTTTCTTGATCTGGTGTGGGACCAAAGTACCTAACCTCTTCAACCTGTATGGTACATGATCACACTAGTTATGGAAGATGGAAATAGCCATCCAACGTATCTGCCAACATTGCAGTTTGGGGAAGTCAGTCATAGAACAGGAAAGAGCAGTTCTTGCTAATTCTGTGCAATTACTCTTTTTTCTTCAAGTCTAGATCTAACCCACCATCATTTCTTTCCAGAAAGAAATGCCAGAAGAATGAATGCCATCCGCCACATCCCCCCCATTTCTCCCCCAACAGTAAAAACTTTGCTGACCACATCCCATTACCTCTAAAACCATCCGGATATTGGCTTTTATTCTGGCAGAATCTTTAGTAAGAGTTTCACTGAGCCTGTTAAAAAACAGAAAAAATCCACAGGAGATAATAGAGAAGGAAGGTAAACCATAAAGCCTGGTAAACCATAACAGCTCTTGACTGCTCATAGATGAAGATAATATGGCATACAGGGAGGACCTGTTTTTATAGTGCATGCTGGAAAATTTATCTGAATATGAATAAGAATGCAATCCTACATGAACCCATCAAAGTTTAAACGCCACTGAATACAAACATGGATTAAGCTGCACAAAAGAAAAGGACATCCCTGTTTCTGCACAAGAGACTTCTATGCTTGCTTGGCTCAATATTTTATTGTTTTATATTTTATAGTTTGCTGGAGCCTATCAAAGTAAAAAGAGGACATGTCCAGATATGATGTAGAGTGTAGTTGCTCACAATTCAGGCTCATCCTTCACAGAATTGACTCCCATTTTCAAAAGTATCCAAGTTATTGATGTCACTTCATTGCCCATTTCCAACTCTACACTGCCAAGAAGTCATTTTAATTGTGGTTTAGTTTTAATTTAGTTTGGTTATCATCACAATTCAATTACTATTCCTATTTCACAAATGATCTATTTTCCATTACCTGTGGTTGGAAATTGCCTTTACACTTACAGAAATACACTTTTTAAATGCAGTGGATAATTGCATTACTGTAAGTTATTTTGTGAGCCAGCTGCCTGGAAGTATGGACTGAACAGGAGGAAAGAATTTAGAAAAAGTATTCCCACTAATGGCTAGTATTTAAGGATATATTCCAATTAGCAAAATTATACTCCATAAGTTCCAGATTCAGAAATTGCACTGAAAACCAGTTTAGGAGCCAATCTTGCTTTTAATCATACATTTGCAGCCTCCTTGTCCTTTCAATCTCACTTTATAAATACAATACTTTTTTATAAAGTTGTAGCAATGACTAATGATATAGCTGCATGAAATTTATACCAACATGATAAAGATGCACTGTTTACATTAATTTACATGAGATTACATTATTTCCAAACCCTGTGAATGTATTTTTGTGATGGCCAATGATTGTCATATTCCTTAGCCTCATGCACAACAATACAAATTGCAGATTTTTCTATGCCAGAGTGACTATTAACCATGTTAAGTCAGTAATATGTACATTCTCTAAAAGAATACGTGGATCTACTGAATCAAATATTTATTTAAGAAATTGGTTATACTATAATCTAGTCTCATCTTGTACATACATTAAAGAAGCTTGTTCTGCTTATAGCAGCCAGTAAATATGCTACTAAATAACAGCTAGAGGATACTAACTCCAGGTTTTATCAAATAGAACACAACAGAGCAAAGCATCTTTCAGTAATAAGGTGAGAATAGAAAATATAAAGGCTAAATTCTTCTACTCACTCATTAAGCAACTTTGTCTTCTTCTCAATGAAAGTTAGAGCCTCTGGTAGAGTCAGCTCCACAAAGAATCCATAACCCAGAGCTATAAATATGGTTGATGTATCAGGCCTATAGGCAGGGAAAGGAAACTGAGTACAATTGGCATTTAATGTATCCACAGAGATAACAAAAATGGCAACTGGGATTTTGTCTGCTGAGGAGAGTATAAAAGCTCAGGTCACATGTTCTGCTAAATTACATGAGTTTGTTTCATTTTGAATTGTACAAATCTAGCCATTTATGATTTCTCTAATAAAGGCTAAGAAAACCATGGTTGCGTGTTATGTGAATCCAATCACAATTTATATTATTAAAAAAACTGCAAATATATCTCAAAGAAAATGAGCCATCTCTTCCTATTTTCTTCATGAAAGGTAAATGGGCAGACACTAGGAAGATTCGAAATGTAAAATATACCATGTTGAGGTAGAATATACTAAAATTAGTTAATGAACCAAGAAAAAATGGATTATACTTAACATAGAATACAATGTAATATAGTAAATATTTCTTTCAGTTGAAATCAACCTCTCGGTAACTACATGAATATTAGCTCTGTTGGAAGCAAAATGAAAATGGTTTGCCGCTTTATCTGGGACTTTTTTCAAGCTTCCCTATCTAGCTTCCAGATCCAGGATTTCCTGGTTGTCTCCTATCCAAATACTATCCAGATCTGTTTCCTTATTAGGATCTTTTGGATTAGTCAAACCCAGCTAAATACTAACCCTGCTGTGCATCCAGTGTTTCTTTTTCCAGTTTTGAAATATTTGGGTGACAGCAGTATAACCGAAAGTAACAAAATAGATGGGATGGGTTACTTTTTTCCTATAAGAGGAAAAAAAATCTAAGAGCAGGAACACAAAATGAAGAGTTGACTTTCTACACTGTTTTCTATAAACTGTTGTACTTCCCTACTCCCATACATATATACATGTAAAGTTAGCTTTCCAATATATTACATTTGTATCACTGTAGGATAACATAGAAAGAGAGCACCATGCTGTCCATTAAACTACCAATACCTTTTAAGGGTGCCTCAACATTCATGGATGATAAAAGAAGAAACCGTTGAAAAGAAAAGAATAGGCAAGACATACAATAGAGTGCAATAACAATCTGCCTGGTAAATTTAGTCCTTTTTGTACTCCCAAAGGTGCTTTTTCAAGAGGCAACTGAACTGTTTTTCTTTGAAGACGTATCAACTTCTCATCCAAGAAGCTTCTTCAGCTCTGACTGGATGGTAGGAAATGGAAGGATTTTTGTAACGTTTCAACAGGGTTTATTTCTTTTCTGTTGTTCCCAGCTACTTCTTCCCCTTGTCTTTATTTCTATCCAATTTTCATTTTCTTTCTTTCCTCTCCCCTTCCCAGGGCAGTTCCATATTCCCACATCGTGTGGAAGGAGAGAAACATGTTCATGTGTATAGGTTATATTTGAAAATAGCAATTATAAGTAATCTTTGGCTTACTATCATTTAATGATGATTCAAAGTTATGATAGCCTTGGAAAAAGTGATTTACAATTTGTCCTCACAGTGACTGTCACATGATCAATTTGTGATCTTCCCAGCTGGTTTCTGACAAAAAAAGTCAATTGAAGAAGCTGGATTTGCTTAACAAAAATGGTATTTTATTTTTAACTAAAATAAGTAAATATAAATGTAAACCCAGATCTGGTGACACGATGGCTCACTCTAAGATCTGCTCTGATGGAAATTCCTGTCCCAATTGTTGTTAAGTCGAGGACTATTTGTAAGCTTGGAAATAGCGTTAACATATTTTAAAGACTATTTATGCTAAGTAATCATTTTTTAAGCCCTGAGAAATCATCTTTTTCATCAACAATTACCTATCTTTCTTAAATATTTTTCATTCTTATGCAGAAACTTCCAAAGTTGTACATAAAAAAATCTTTCTGGATGCCAGCTTTTCATCATTGTGTTTTTGTTTGGCAAACACAATCTCTTTCTGCTTACAATTAATGTGTGTTCACACTATCCTTGGCCCTCTGCTATTGGGAAGGGGAAAGAAAGAAGCGTTACTTCACACTCAGCCACCTGTCTTTATACTGGGCAAAGCTAGTGGGAAAGCAGCCTAAATTTGGCTCTTGTTCTGCACATTATCTTTCAATGCACAACCTTTTGTTCTTAACCAAGAAGGGGTTCATCTGGGGATAAAACATTTTTATATCATATTTTCCCAGGATGAAAAATGAAATTTTAATTTTTTTTTATTTATAGGGAAATTTGGTTAAGAGAGTTAACTCTCTTCAAACACATATTCCGACAGATGGGGTGGGGGGACTGAGAAGAAAAGACAAGATTTTCTCTGTCTCTTCTGACTATGCCTTTTTTTAATGTTCCATCTTTTCATTTCTAATGCATTTCTAATTTGTTAAAAACAATGCTTCTTAAATTAGCAGAGTCACCTCACACAGCAAGATTGGCAGCATATAAATTTAATAAATAAATGTATATGTACAGTATGTATTTTTTAAAAAACCTGGATCTATTTTTTTTAAAAAAAACCTGGATCTAAAACATGTTATTGTGGAGCCCAAAGAGTTTTCTCCAGAATGTTTTACCACTAAGAATAGCCTGAGTGCATGACTCATCATTCTGAGCATGTTTCCTGATTGAGAGGATGGAGAACTAAAAGTCCAAATCATACAGAGAAATTGCAGCAATCTCCTCAGCAGATTTATCCATTAATCCAACAAGAATCTTTGATTAAATCATTTTTCACACTTCACTGAGAGCTTTTTCATGCAATACAACATGAAAATTATGGCTTTAGAAAAGATCTGGATGTTTTCTTTGGAGATTAGCCTGCAAATTACAGCACACAGTATATAAATGGTGCTCTGTAAATAAAGATCAGCTTTTACAGCTATTCTATGACAGCCTAAGCAAACAGGAAACCCTTTACAAGAACTTAGCAGAGGTTACTTTCAAAATTTTAACTTGGAAACCCTACCGTCCTATTCTTTCCTTACATTTAAAGAACATAATTTTAATTTTCTGATTTTTTTTTTAACAATGTATTTCAACCTTTTGAGAAGTGTTTCAGGTTAAGAATAAAAGATTGGACCATGAGAAAATGTAGACACATTCTGTTATAATATTATAAATCAAGCTATATGATGCTAGTATAGGGGCATCCAATGCTAGGATTCTCTAGATAGAAAAACAGTTTTCAGTAGGAAATAGATAAACCTGTGAAGACAAACTATCAAGGATTAATTATGACCATTATAAAAATCTCATAAGTATTCTATTGTAAATATTTTTAAGAATCTTTGGCAGGAACTTATCTGGCCTATTTTAAAATCCAAACCATGACAAGATATTTCTGAGTACAAATAGTCCTTAATTTACAACCACAACTGAGCCCAAAGTTAGTATTGAGACATTTGTTAAATGAGTTTTGCCCCATTTTACAACATTCTTTGCCACAGTTGTTAAATGAATCACTGCAGTTGATAAGTTAGTAACACAGTTGTTAAGTCAATCTGGCTTCATTGATTTTGCTTGTCAAAAGGCTGCAATAAGTGATCACATGAACTTGGGACACAGCAACAGTCATAAGTATGAACCAGTTGCCAAGCATGGGGAAGTAGCAAAGGTCGTAACTGAAAAATGGCTCTAAGTCAGTATTTTCATTCCCACTGTAACTTTGAATGGTCACTAAATTAACAATGAGTTGGAGTGCTAAGTATATTATATACGTTATTAAATATTTTATTTATTACATTGTTTTATCTAATTCCAAATTAGATTTATTTCTAATTTCCTTTTGGGCCTTTTGGTTATAAATAAAATCATATCAGTTGCCACGGATGAATAATACAAGAAACTATAGTGTTTTTGTTATTTTCATTTTCATAGTCAATCGCTGTGGAAAACAAGATGCCAGTCCAGATAATTATTAATCCAGCATTTAATTTGTTTATCCTCTACCAGGTACTCCTCATTATCCAAAATCCTTCAAACTTATCACTCACACACAGGTAGATCAAATTAGTTTTATGAAGAATATTCATCACCAATAATAATCAGATATAAATTTCAAAGTGCTTTGTATATATAATCTCACTACAAAAAATATTTCTAATTATCTTAATTAAATCCTTCAGACTTTAACATTTGTATGATTGGCTGTCATTGAAGGAGTGCCATCTTATTCTCAATCATGAAGAAAGTTAAATAATCAGTGAATAAACTGTCACAATTGATTTGACTGCCACTGCAACAAACTTAAGTGCTAGTAGATACTCTTACAAGAAAGAATTATACTAAATAGCCCTCTGTCTCACTTCAACTTTTATGATTTTACCAGTTGGTGTCTTATGAAAGTTATAAAAATACCAGTAGTATTTTAACTGAATTTCTCAAAAGTTGCAGTACATATAAAAACATAAAAGACCAGAAAGTTGTATTACATTGGATACATGGAAGATCAGTGAGCTACTCACACTTCTGCATTGACATAAAAATGGCAGCCTAGATCCACTTGAGTTTTCAGCTCCTGGCTTCCTGTTTCCTAAAAGAAAATAACCAATTTACCTGGGGCAGAGCAGCTCTTAATTTTTTTCTAGTAGTATCTACTACAACAGAGGACTGCATCACATGATTGCAAAGTAGATAAACAGTATATTTCATAAAGCTTTCCAAAGTAATTGGAAAGACTTTTTGAATTACCTGTAAACGTTCAATAATGTTCCTGAGTTGCAAATACTGAGCAATCTTTTCATAAATTTCATCTCGCTGCTCCAATACTTTCCTGTAGGGAAATATCAATGTCTGAAATATCCTTATCAATGACTAAGAGACCTAATGACATACAACAGGTTAACTGCAATGAGGAAAGTAAAAGGAGGACTTGGAAAATATTTTTTTTAAAATCACTCACTTAAGGTCTCTCTGCAAAACATCACTGATAAATTCTTCATACTGAAGCACCTTCTCTTGTAGCTGCTGTTCACTAAGCATCACCATAAGACTTCCACAAAAAGTATTAGTAAACAGATCCTGGAGGAGAAAATAATAAAAAGTTAATAGGAACAAATAATATCTGCAAGTGGGAAAGAAAAAAAAACGGATTTTGAAAAGGTAGTCCACCCAACCTGCTTTTGCAAACGATATTTTGTAGGCAAATACACCCCATTTTTCTCCCCGTCATTTTCCCTCTTCCGGCAGTTATCATTATGTAATTGGAATATTTACCCCCACGTAAACCAGGCCAACCCAGAAATACGCATTCAGGTAGAATAAGGTCAGGGCAGAATTCCTAGTCCTTTCTCGAAAACTCAGAAGTGGCCAAGCCTGCGATTTACAAAGCAGCACCGACGCGTCGGTCGCACTTTAAAAGCGAGGTTAAGTCTCTCTCGGACTCAGGCTCGCTTTCAAGCACTTCAGAAAGGAAGGGAGTTAAAAGAAGGGAGCAACTTTTGCCCTCCCCCGCCCAGTGAAAGCCGCCAAATGTGGGGCCAAGAGTTGCCCGGGACAGAAAAATTAAAGCAACGCTCTTCTTTTCCTGCTCGGTTCCGTTCAGCTCGGCGTCTGAGGAGAGATCAAGTGGTTTTATTTTCCCACTGTTTAATCATGGGGCAACCTCGTCCGACCTGGTGAACTTCCAGATGTGACGGCGTTTAGTTTCCAATAGAGACTGGGAATAAGGAGAGGGGCACCAATTAAGAACAACTATCCTGTTGCCATGTGTGGGTTTTTTTTTGGGGGGGGGGGGAGGAATCGCTATCGTTTTTGATAGCAACGTGAGGGCGGCCATTCCTCTTTTACCCGAGTCTCTCTCCAGGTTTCATTCGGGCTCCCAAGACGGTAAGGTACATAAACATGATACAGGAAGTGAACGGCACTTCCGGTTGGTAGGCGCTCCCGCCGCCGTCGTCTCGTTGCTGCCCGGCTCGGCTCGGCTCAAAGATACAAGCGTCTCTCTCTTTGATTCCGCGGTCTCCCTCTCTCGCGATGACGGTGCCAGATCTGCGGCTGGACCCTTCCATTCGCTTCTGGATTTTGCTGCCGGTGGCCTGGATCGCGCTGGCTGTGGGGATTCTGCGCCTGCGCGTGGCGAAGTTGCTGCGCGGCGAGCGCGAGCCGGCCTGGCCTGAGCAACGGCAAGACACGTGAGTCGCGGGGAGGGCTGCGAAGGACGCGCCGACGTTCCAAAGGGCTTAAAGGACGGGGAGAGAGGCGAGATAAGCGAGCCCGCTGGAACGGTTGAAAATCCGAGGACTCTGTCGCACTTTTGGCATTCTGGCCTGGGGAATTCTGGGACTTGAAGTCCACACGTTTGAAAGTTTCCCAGTTTGAAAATAACCCGGCAAGAGAGAAGTGGCAACCCCGCCAAGAATTCTCTGCCAATTCTTGGCGGGGTTGCTACTTTTCTCTTGACGGTTTTTTTTCCCCCCAAAGTGGGCAACTTTCAGAGGTGTGGACTTCAAGCTGCAGAATTCCCCAGCCAGAATGCCAAAAATAAAAACCCAAACTGGTTAACTAGAGGTAGTCCTCAACTTACAACAATTCATTTAGGGACCATTCAAAGTTACAAGGCACAGAAAAAGTGACTTATGACCATTTTTCCGTTTACAACCTTTGTAGCATCCCCATGATCATGTGATCAAAATCCAGAGGCTTGGCAGCGGGTTCATACTTACGACCATAGCAACCAGGATGATTAGGGGACTGGAGACTAAAACATATGAAGAACGGTTACAGGAACTGGGCATGGCTAGTCTAGTGAAGAGAAGGACCAGGGGAGACATGATAGCAGTCTTTCAATATTTGAGGGGCTGCCACAGAGAGGAGGGAGTCAAACTATTTTCTAAAGCACCTGAAGGCCAGACAAGGAGTAATGGATGGAAACTGAACAAGGAGAGATTTAACCTGGAAATAAGGAGAAACTTTCTGACAGAACAATCAATCCATAGAACAGAAGTTGCCTTCAGAAGTTGTGGGAGCGCCATCACTTGAGACTTTCAAGAAGAGATTGGACAGCCATTTGTCGGAAATGGTGCAAGGTCTCCCGCTTGGGCAGAGGGTTGAACTAGATGACCTACAAGGTCCCTTCCAACTCTGATTATCTGTTATCTGTGCCCCAAGGTCATGTGGTCACTTTTTGCTACCTTTTGACAAGCCAAGTCAATGGGGAAGCCACATTCACTTAACAATCGGGTTACTAACTTATCAACTGCAATGATTGATGTAACAACTCTGGCAAGAAAGGTTGTAAATGGGACAGAACTCACTTAACAAATGTCTCACTTAACAACAGAAAACTTTGGGCTCAATTGTGATCGTAAGTCAAGGACTACCTGTACTCAAAGACTAACTCAGTTTAATATAAATCTAGTAATAATATAAAATCAAAATACCCACCAGCAGCAATAAATGCAGCAGCCTGACCCCTCTTTTAATCTCAGTCTGAAACAAGGATATTTTTCATATTTCCTGAAAAAAAGGATGAAGAGTTGAAAAGAGACATTAAAAAATCCATGTTTACATTAGGGAGCAACAACCTTTTTCTTTTTGATGGTTCTTAGCTAAGAGTGAGCAAATGGTAAACTTCAAAATAACACTGTAAACCTGTATTTCGTAAACTGTCTTCCAAAACTTCCCCAAAAGCACTAAAGGGCATACTACCTATTTCTTCATGGTGCCTTTGTGAAAAGTGGATTTTCAACAGGGTACAATCAAGGTCAAACATCAAGAGCATTATGCTCATTGTTTTTTTAAAAGCCAGTTCTCATTTCAGATGTAGAAAAAAATACAAGCTTGTACATTTATAATTGGTGCATTAAATATAAGAGAAAATGAAGAATATGAACATATTTTTATTTCAATAGTCTTTGCATTTCCCATCCCCCCTTTTTAAAAAAACACTCCCTATAAAAATATTTGAGGATATTTCTTTTGAAATATTTTGAAAAGTTTCAGAAACACTAACAGAAGCATGTAAATATTTTCAGCTATATCTTATGCTATTCTGAAGACCCAAGGCAAGCCCATTGTTTAATACCATGTCTCCATAATGCAACTCTTTGGTTCCCCAAGTGGCTTCCAATAATATCCCATATAAAGGCATAGGATGCTGACTTCATAATGGCAACTATATGAAGTTGTAAAATATACTTCTTGAGTAGAGTTATTTTGCTGATCATGAGGAATACTGGAGGCAAAGAAGACTTGCATACCAACCCTGTATTTTAATTGCCTATTTCCAGTGTCATGTTAAAGACATTTGCACCATGCCAACTAACAGTTGCAAAAATATATTGGGGGAAGTGACAGTAGGAATCATGCAACGATTCCCATAATACTGCAAAAATCAAGGAGTCTGGTAGCACCTTTTAAAACTATCACATTAAAATTTCTCATTTTTGATATCAACAAAGCTTTTCTCCTACAATGTCTATAACAGGGGTGTCAAACTAGCGGCCCGTGGGCCAGATGGGAAAAATGTCACATGACGGCAACATGACGCCATGAGTTTGACACCCATGGTCAATAATATTACATGGGATTCTAAGGGACCAATTATGACTAAATTTCATAGACTACTTCATCGGTGCCTTTAAAATGCTGCCTTAAACAACTGTATACAGGTGGTGGATTGTGTGGGGGAACAGAGTGGTTTAATGATACATCTGGATTTGCACATCAGATAATCTCTTGGGCTAACAAATTCTATTAGTATTATAATGAACTGGGTGCTCTGTCTGTCAGGCAAATTTTGACTCGCAGCCGCCTCTTGAGAGAAAATGGACGGTTTCTAACTCATCAGGTGAGAGAACGAAGTCAGCCTCTTCTTGAATGCCCCTATTCCTTGGACAGATTTTGGCAGATACCCATCAGAAGCTTCTTGGCATGGAGATATTTCCCAGCATTTCAAGCTGCATGTGCTTGTTTCTATGAAAACCAAAACTTTGCTAAGGATGCAAAATGAACTAACAAAAATAACCAAAGTGGATTTTGTTGTTGTTTTGTGATACTTACCTCAGGTTCTCTTGGATAACAACTGGACCAAGACTGTTTTTGGATGATTTTTTTCAATGAACTTTATTTAACTTATATATTGTTACTGTCTTCCAGGATTCTAGAATTCTTGGACTTATTGCTGGTTTTATTTAAGGTTGTTCTTGTTTTGTAAATTGCTCTGGTAATACTATTATTTTAATCAGCCTATCTGTATTAGTATTTGGCCTTTGCCTATGCATCTCCCCATCCACCTGCCCCAAATCAAAATGACATTCATCATAATATGGCACTACAGACCGTAAGAACTTTTGTGCTTATCTGATATTAGAGCTGGTTGGTCAGTGTGCTGACTTTCTACATCTAAATAGAGCTGGTTGGTCAGTGTGCTGACTTTCTACATCTAAATGGATAGGATTGAACTTTAAGAGACTAGGTGAAAGCAAACCTACAATAGTGCTCTACCCATAAGTAAGGTATGCTAAAGATTTCAAATAGAATGCCAGAGAGGTACTGCAAGCACCCAAAAAGGAGATAATCAACATAAACTATATGTATTTTTCTTTTCTGAATAGCCCAAATTTCACCTTAACTTTGTCACCTTTATTTTTTCCAGGGTTTTCTTATGCGCAAGCATTACTTCAATAATTCAGAGAATGGCTTCTTTCGCAAAACTAAACGCAAACTGCAGTCCCGAAACCCGCTGACAGGTAACAAGGATGACTAGTTTGTACTCAGGGGTAGTAGCAGTGGCACCTTAAGTGGACTAAAGCTAGTTTTTGTCATTTTTTTGCCCTTGTTAAAAAGATTGTAATCTGTAGAAAGTCTCAGTTTTGGGCATCGGCTGTAAGGATTTTGATGTATATCAGTGTTTTTCAAACTTGGCAATTTTAAAATATGTGGACTTCTGCTCCCAGAATTCCCCAGCCAGCTGATGTATATGGCTATTATTGAAGCTTTCTCAAAATAGAGCTGCCAGTTTACACAAGCCGTATTACCACCCTTCTTGCTATGGTCACTGTTACATAAACCAGCCGAGGCTCCCCCATAAAGGGGTGGGGGGGGGGGGGGCATTAAACAATGTTCCCTAAAGAATCTCTGGTAGATTCTGTTATGGAAAATATTTGTGTGTGGCAGAAGACTGTCAAGAAAGTTCACAAGTATTACACTCCATGATTTGTAGGGGCATCCATTTGAGTGTGTATTCTCTATTAGCCTTCCATCCTTCGAACACTAATTTTGCCATGACGTAGAGAATGAGAAATCTAGTGAATGGTTGATTCAGATTTCTCTTTGCTTTTCATTCAGTAGGTAAACAGGAAAATTGCTCTGCTTCCAGTTTGCTTCCTGCACCCATTCCTAATACAGAAATCATACTGAGTCTCCTTTACCATGCTGATAGGATTATGTATTTAAGGTCCTTTTGGATAGACACACCCATCACCCATTCCCTTTTGAGGGAAGCACAGTGATAACACAGAAAAATAGTACAAAATAGTATGCTGAAGGACTAAGATATGAGATGGTAAATCTAGCTGACACTAAAACATTCAATATCCTTGCCTCCACCGTAACCTCACTGCTTTATAATTGCCTTTTAAAAAATTTCATTCTTTTTCCATCTAATGGAGGATCCTCCAACCTTAGTTCAAACATGGTCTTCCTCTTCTCAAGCCATTTGCTCATACATGTTCAAGTCATACATATTCTTTGCAATGTAATCATTAAATTATGTATTACTAAATTAGGCTAAGGTTTTGCAGATTATCCCTGCAAAGAGAAATGAAGTTCTGATAGAAGACAAGATTCAGAGCAGGGAGCAAATCTATTCCCTCTTTGACTCTGTCCTGTCATCTTGACTGACAGCAGCTTTCAAGGGCAGCTCTAGCAGATGGTTTTCTTAGCCTTATTGGGGTGCAGAGTCTCAAACTTGCCTTCTCCTATACCAGGGCTGTCAAACTCGTGGTCTGCAGGCCAGATACGTCACGCACTGGCCATGCCCACATCTGGTTTAGCAAAGGTGCGGGGAAGTTGCGATATCACATGACGATACAAGCTTGACACCCCTGTCCTATAAGTACATACAAAAAAAAAAACATGGCCACTTTCTGCTTTCGCTATCACCTGCATATTTCCTCCATTGTTCTGCCATTGATCTGCTTTCTTTATCCTTCAACTAAGCTTTGTCGTCTTTCCTTAGTCCTTCTCGATCTTATTGGAGGGGAACCGTCTGAAATGCCTGGGAATGTAAACAGATCGCTGCTTCATTGGATCATGTTTGTCTTGCATTAGCATCAACTGGAAAGGGAGGAAGGGCATTGCCAAATTGGTAGCCACCTCATAATAGGCCTGGAGGCTCCAGGCAGTGTATTTCTCTCAAGGCAGAGACACATAAGCTTTTAGAAATCTTCAGTGTAGATTCAATCACCTCTCTAAATCCTCTAACATAGGTTGTTATGACAGCAGTCAAATTAACTACAGCATTCAATTTTAAGTACACAACACTAATTTTAATTTTTGCCAGTGCTCTAGCTATTAAATGTCAACCTCAGAATCTGTGCCCTAAAAAAAATTTCTAACCTGTCAACTAAGATAAGTGTTTTAGTGTAGGACTCGGGCTTAACTGTTTGCCAACATAGCCCATACTCTGCAACTAGCAGACTTCAGTGCTGTGTATTAGGCTGATTAAATACATTTGTGTTTGATCAGATTCTTCCCATCCTGGGAAGCAGAAGAGCGCTCTGGGGGGCACCAAAATACTTTTCTTGGTTACCATGGTTTAAAATTGCCACCCCCATCCATGTATTGTAATATTTACATACAGTAGGGATTACCTAAATGCAACTACTGCAGATCAAAACTTTAAAAATAGGCCTGAGTGAAAGTTGAGTTGGAGGCTCACTTTAATATGCCTTAAATATTCTGCAGTTTTTCTGTACTGTTAAAACATGTTATATACTGCATAGTTAGGGCTCTAACACTTCCTTTCCTTTCCTTTAGATCCCACAATGGTTACAGAGATGATGAAGGGCAACCTTATAGATGTTCTGCCTATGATTCTCATTGGAGGCTGGATCAACTGGGCCTTCTCTGGCTTTGTGGCTAGTGAGTCGAGGGGAATCATTGAGGGGAGGTGACAAAGCATTTTGTGTTTAGCTTCCTATTTATTTGATATTTTATATTATTCAATGTCTCCTTTGACCTCCAGGGTTGTGAATATGGAATAAAATTATTACAGCCTGCAATATTTAAAGAATTATTGAAATAGAACTATTTTAATAGTGAAACTGGTGAGGGGAGCAAGATGACTTTGCTAATGTACTAAACAGCAGCCAATAACTCTGCCAATGTACAATGTGGTTTACAATCCTTAGTTTAGCTGGTCCATGAGGTACACCTCATTTTATATTCTGTTACAAACATAGAAATGGGGGTGATTGGTTGCTTGCTGCCCTCCAGATATGCTGAGACCCCAATTCCAGGACTATTCAGACAGCAAGCCAGTTCAGCACATCTCAAAAGCAGAGCCTGGGAATTGCTTCTATAGCATCTGAACTATGAACCAGGAGTTTTACTTTGCTTACTTCTACCTTGAATTTTAGGTTAGCCATATACCTCCCCAGGTTAATTTATAATACAGGAAAGAGAATGCAACATCACCACTTTTAGCAACGTAATGGCCAGGTTTGGAATACCTTGGGAAACAAAGCAGCAAGGTCCAGCAGTTTTAGTGGAGATTTTCATCTGATCTGGTGTCCTAACTATAGCAACAAGGAACAGCAATTTGAAAATATTGGGGAGCTGGGGCTTGAGTGGTGAGAGTAGAATTTAGAGGGAGAGGCAACTCTAATCACTCTCCCTCCCAACCTTCTAGCTAAGGTTCCCTTCCCCCTGACCCTGCGATTCAAGCCCATGTTGCAGCGTGGAATTAACCTGCCTTCCATGGATCCCTCGTGGTAAGCCGTCATCTGCCCCAGGTCTAGCCAGTCCTTTGGGTGGCAGGATGGGAAGAGGACATTGGTACAGGACTGGTGAGCAAGAAGGCTGTTTACAGGTTACTGAAAATTGTTTTTCCTAGGGTGAGTTCGGCCTCCTGGTATTTCCTCAATGTCTTTGGACTCCGAAAAATATACAAACACGTTCTGAGAGAGGACCCTGGTGAGAAATTGTTCAAAGGAAGAGACCACGTATTGGCTTAGTATAGTCTTTCAAGGACACAATGCTTCCAACTCCAACATTACGTTGAAAACAGGAAGAAAACATTCCGTAAACAGTAGAGTTGAGTGATGAGAGTGCTAGAGGGGACAATGTAGCCTTAAATGGAGTTTGAATTGTTGCTAACTTACAAATTGTCAGATCTGGCTTTCAGATCTAACTCTGTAAATGGTTACAGAAATAGGATGCTGTGCCTCCTACAAGTCCGATTTGCAGAACGGCATCTGCCACCTTCCTTTGTGGTGTAATAAAAGCTCACTTGAGCCACTGAATCACAAACTAGCCAACCACATTTTAGCTTAGCATGTGGTATGAATTTAGCTTGCATGGTTACCTTATCAGTGTCTCATGTGAACCTAGCAATTTTGGGTTAAGTAAACCATCTTATGAATGCAGCATACGAAAATAAAAAAGTTTTATTTCAACTTTAGTCCCTATCACCTTTTCAAGATTGATTCAGTATTTCAATATTGTTTTGACGGATTCTTTTCCCAAAATAAAATATCCAGCCATCATTCAGTAGTATCTTCATTCTAATTTTTTTAAGAGTACATCTTAACCTAGTTATGAATGTGCACTTTATAATTGGTTTGTCCTTATAATTACAGGGAAATAATTGCAAGGATAGCTATACCAGTCTGCTATAGTGGGGGAATCCTTTCTAATATTCTACAGTCTGAGATTCAAGATACACACATCTTCATAAAGTAAATCTCACTAGGCAATTACAGTGTTTCCATATGCTCCTCCTGCTCTCTTAATAAATTTAGTAACTCTCCTATAGAGACCTTATACTTAATAAAATGTGGTCTGCTGAGTGTCTTGATGTTAGTTTCCATGCTGCCTCAGGCAGAATAGCTTACCAATGAGCCTAAATGGGTTTTCATTCCCATACAGTATTCGCACTTACCTTTCTTTCCTTCACCGCAGAGCCAAGTCAGCTATTGCTTGAAGTTCAGCTCATGGGCTCAGATATCCCTGCTCCACCAGATCCCAACAAGGCCTTCAAAGTAAGGTTCTTTATTCTACCGAATAATTCTACTGAAAAGCATAAGACAGGTGCAGGGAACCAAGGGCAAACTTGCAACTCCCAAGGATCCCTCAACATTATCTAGGTATTGACCGGGCTTCTTATAAAAGTTTGTAGAGGATCATGGGTTTTCAGTTCACTGTGTGAACTTCAGTTTCATTAGGATTGTCAAAATTTCCTTTAGGTTGGGATACGCTGTGTCAGGAAATCGATGGGAAAACAAACTTATTTCATACTGAAACAAAATGTTGGATTAATATATAATAGGAACAGGTATTTTTTTTCAGGAAGAGGGCAGACGGAATTTTGAAAGCACGAGCATCTTCATAAAATGCCTTCCAAGGCAGGCTATCACAAAACACTTTCAGTAGGTGGCAAATTGGTGGTATTACGCACACAACAGGCACAGATGCTTCCCAATACAGCAGTTTAAAACTTTCCCCACTTTTTTCTGAATAATTGGGCACTCTTCCCACTCACCTTTTTATTTATTTATTTTTAAAAAATCTTCCAAGATATCCATATTTTCTTAATGTGAAAACAGTCTACTGAAAGTCATTTAACTTGAAGCCTGGGCTTTGATTCTGCCACTCTCGTAGTTGGTAGTGCATCGGTGGATTTAATAGTACTTGAGAGTTAAAGCATGGATTCGCAAATTACCAACAAACCCTTTCTTTTCTTTCAGGCTGAGTGGGAAGCCTTGGAATTGGTCTCTCACCACTGGGCACTTCAGGATGTTGAGGAACAGCTGATGTCACAGGACCTCAAGTTGACCCAGATGTCCAGGCCAGACTGAGCTCTATCAGTCCACTCTGGAGTACAGTCCTATGGGAAAGGCAGTGCCCAGAGACATTCTGTTTATCACTGTGAATTGGTGGCCAAGGACCACTTATTGTGCATGGTGTGCTAAAGTTGTGAAGCTGTGCTTGGTTTAAATGGTAAAAGATACTGACAGCACTGAAAATCAATGATCAGCAGTCTGATCAGGAAAGAGCTTTAGAAACCTTGTGAAGAGCTGAAGCATGGAATAGTGTCTGCTTCCATTTCCTGGTGTGCAGCAAGAGAAAAAAAAATGTGATAAGTATATTTGGAGGCTTCAGGTAGTAATTTAATGTATATGGTATTGCAGAATACTGGGTAATAAACCAAGATAGCTGCAACTTCTCTTGCTCAATTATTATTTGTTCAGGGGCAGATTCTAAGAGGTGCTAAATAGACTCCCGAGTTTAAATACTTTTTAACACCGCACTGAAATAACTCTTTTGTGGGCACTAGAGTATCTCCAGCAAAAGGGAGATCTAGATTGCAACTCTTAGGAGCTACAATTGCCTGATGTCAGCTGAGAAGCTACCAGATGTGGATGTTCTTAGTTTGTACTGACCGAAGCAAAACAGAAAGAAGGCAAATCTTTACAGACCTTGGTTCAAAGCCCCGCCCCGCAAAGGGAAATAAAGCAAGGCAAAAGTGTAATGTGTGTGCATCCTGTAAGGGATAATACCGAGGGGAAAAAGAGAGGCCATATGCCTTTTAAAAGAAGTTACTTTATGTACACATGCCAAAAAATATTTTCTTCTGCAAGATAACTTCAAGAGAAATAAAAGCTCAAAGAGTTACGTGAAAGAATATTCTTCCAAACTCTTTAAGTAATTAAATGCACTATGTGCTCCTGCCAACAGTGAGTGTCCTGTGCTTGATCAACACTGCTTCCTGCTGTATTCTATCCACTGCATTGCGCACACAAACCTATTTACAAACTAGTGCAATCCCTGAGCCTAGAAGTAGCAACAGCAGTGGCAGCAGAGACTCAGATAAAAGGGAAGAATTCCGAAGTTTTGCTCGAACAGGGATACACCTGGTAGGTATCAGGCCAACTGAAAAGAAACTTCAAGAGCTGGTAGTCAATTTTCTCCTACAGTCCTTAGGCTGAAGGGAACTGCAACACAGTATAGACTGAAAAAAATGGCTGTCTTCCCAAACAGGTTTGGATGCAAGAGTTAAAAAGTAGCTTTTTAGGGCTCAGTGGCTCACAGTCACCTTAATAACTGGAGGTAAGCTTCAGAAATGAGGATTAATACAAGGAAATTCAGAAACACGCATGCGAATTGCAGATTTCTACCAGATGCTGGAAGATGGGGCAGGACAATATTGGAATTATTGCTTAATTGGGGAGCTAAAAGGAGGCACTTGGAAGGTAAATGACAGGAAAGAATGTGAGGGGCCATTTATCCAGACCTATCCAATGTCAGGTAGGGCAATAGCAGGGAAGTGTCCTAATTAGCCACAGACTACACAGGAGTTAGTATCTCTGCAAACTCCTCCCAAAGCACAGGAACCAGCAAGGGAGAAGTGGAGGAGGTGAAGACGTGAAGTTGCGAGCAGCAAAACAAGGGTAGATACCCTGATTAGAGTGGCCTAATACTGCGGGAGATTGGGGGGGGGGGGGGGGGGGGGGGGGGAGTGCACAGCCAGCATAAAAACAATGCGTTTAAGCTTCCTTCCACATAGGAAACCTAGTGCTAATAAAAGCATCTCAATTTTAAGATGTAAAAAAAAAAGGGAATGGAGGAGACAATCCAGGAAGCCTATGTTCCATCCAGCCATCTTATTATGTTGATGTAAGGCACAAGCCTTTTAAAGAGTAGTCGGTCTTTCCCCCTCCACAGTGGGGGGGACTATGTGCTAAGCAAAGAGCCTTGCGCTTTGGACACAGGAAGATGGCAGGTCTACTTGTGCTGGTGAAGGGGCTCTATCTCGTCTCCTACATCCCTGACCTGCCCTTATTCCAAGGCCTGAAATCCAGCTGCCCCCTTCAGTACAAGGAAGGGAACGTATATGGCTCTCCGCCTGTTGCAAATGGAGAAGGGAAGCGAGGTGAAGGTCAGTCCACGTCCATGAAGTCCCGGTTTGCTAGCTCTTGAGAGTGAGAATCACAGCAGGCAGCATAGTCCTCCTCATTCCCGCAGGCAGGCGTACTCATGGATGCAGGAGGAGGAGTTGGGTGGCAGATTTTGTCCTGGCGTTGATAGAAGAGGACATAGGCAGCTTTGGACTGGCAAGAAGACAGGGAAAATTTAATAAATGGCAAAGGACAACACATCCAAACATTGAATTGACAATGGTTTCACACATGTGTAAATCCCCCAAACTTGGGACTATCAAACTGGCCGTGGAAAGACCATATAGGTCCAAAAAACTGGACTTGTTTATAACATTTTGCATTGTTTTAATATAAGAGACCATCATAGGAGATGACTTTGCACTGTCATTGTTCATTCCAGCTTGGCTACCATGGAAAGAACGAAGATTCTGAAGCATGTCCTCAAAGCAGGTTTCTTCAGTCTTAAAATTTAATCCACGGCTCGTTTACCTAATACTGGGATGTCCTGAAACTGACCTCTCCAGAATCTGCAGCCCATAAAAGAAATCACCATGCTAGCTGGAAAATCTGGGGATGATAGTATCTTAAAGCATACCAAGGCATCAAAAGCTGGGTTTAAATAGTTAACTTTAACAAAAGACATTCTCAAAAAGCTAGAGTCACATTCTGCATTTTTACTCCCACTGCAGCTGCAGCACACATCTTAATAGCAGTCCTCCATCTTATGATGCCCCCAGTCGATGGCAAGACTAAGGAAGCAATCCGAGGCAAATAAGCCTCCTTTCCTCCCTTATAGTTGTTCTAAAATGACTCTTTAGAGACACTGGAATGTGTCCCATTTCTTAACAAGTAAGAATGTATAGATAATTTATTTCAGTTTGGTCCCACTAAAAAGCCAGCCTGCTTTGAAACACAGTTTCCAAGGTTCCATTCAAAAGTTACCCATAAAGCAAATGCAAGTCAAAGAATATATTGTATTATAAGATCTGACAATCCTTGTAGCAAAAAGGTGTGGAGGAGACCAGTGCAGCAAGGCATTTGCCAGTAAAGTACTGAAACCACGAGCCCATCCAAACACGAAATGCCTTACCTCAATCTGGTTGTTTGAAACCGCAGACACGCTGCTGTCATCAAAATAAAACCACGTCCCAGTGTCCTTGTTCCGGGCAAAAGTGGTGTCTAGAGAGTACAAGAGATGAGTCAGATCATTCTGTATTCTTTTGTTATCCACCAAGAAAACAAACATGGTCTTATCACAAAGGAATTCAGGCAGAGTTGTGTGTTATGTCTGTTTCTTTATAGTTCCAATGAATATATCCCCTGGGCTAAGCTCTTCTCTTTTTTCTCATTGTTTCTGCTTTCTAGTCATGTTGGGCTAAGAGAGAATGACAGCCAATTTGGTTTAGTGGTTGAGGCACCAGGCTAGAAACACTGCCTAGTTCTGCTTTAGACACAAGCCAGCTGGGTGACCTTGAGCCAGTCACTCTTTCTTAGCCCTAGGAAGCAGGCAATGGCACGCCACTTCTGAAAAATCTTGTCCCCCAAAACTGCAGGGACTAGTCCAGTCAGTCATCAGGAATCAAGACTGGTGGTTTAAAGGAACTAAAAAAAGAGTCATCTCTTTCCTACAAGAGGAAGAGAAAACAAGATTCTTTAAAGTTAGTAAGTATTGGTACCGTTGCCAGCAAAAATCAGAGCAAGTTTTTAGCTATTACTTTGCAACTACTGTAAAGACAAACAGTCCTCATCCATCAGATGAGTGGCAGGCAGCTTGTGACTTCCAGATGGAGGAGGAGGAGGAGGAGGAATGCGACAAAGTAAAAACAAAAAAATCTGGCAGATGGGTCCATGGACCTGAAGGCTATAACTAAAGACAAAGTTTGGTAGGTTCTGAAACAGGGAGGTTGGGAAAATCCTGTTTGCTTGTTTATTAAATTTATATCCCGCCCATCTCACCAATATACCAAAAACTGGGTGGCTTTACACTCTTATATAGAACTATCCTCCAAATATTTGCACATACCCCTTACTAAGAGTAGCATATTTTTATTGGATTATGCTTCAATTATTCTTCTTTGAGGCCCCCAATTTATCCCCACCCCCTAAAAAAAAAATCTATTTCCTCTAGTGTCAGGATACATACAATGCCCATCCCGGAGGCCACCATAGTGGTTGGACACAGCAATGAGGTCATATTTGTACAGGGAAGCGTCCGTTTCTTTCTGGGGTTTGATGATGAAATCAGAAAAGTCCAGGCCCCTGTAAGAGAGAAATTACAAAGCCACTTTTTTTTTTTCAATCCCGACAGCAACCCCTTTGGAGAAAAGTCCTACTGTGTCTTTGCACAAAGGAATTGCTACTATCTCAATGTGTGCTCCCAGCTGCCACAATAATTTTACACTAATGCAGCCTCCCACACCTTGAGCTCAAGATGTGTCTGACAGCAAATTTCCATGCCTCGGAGCATGGAAATGTACATCAAATGTAACCCAAGAGAGCTGAAGGCCTGGGCAGGAGGAAAGCAGGGATACAGTTTCCCCTGATCTGTCAATTAACTGGTAGCACAAAGCAAGTATTTCCTGCTGAGAGCCTTAAAACAGGGATAGAGAATCTCCCCACATTTGGGAAAGGTCGGCCCGCCCCCTTTCTAGATCCTCAATAGCACTGGAGCTACCTTTGGAAATCCTTTAGCAGCACAGCCAATGATGACAGGGTCTCCTGGTGATGGAGCTTACATGATTACTGAGCCTTTTTTTTTTAATTGATGTAACATACATACAGTACATACCCATCATGATATTATTATTCCCTTTATGGTGTAAACAGTGTTACTACACAGTGCAGAAAAGGAGTAAGTAATAGTAAGCAAAAAAAGATAATTAAGATAATAGAAAGGACAATATAGATAAATCTAGTTTCACCAACACCATTCACACAAAGTCGGATTCAGGCTGAGTTTTTGATGACCTCCAAAACAGAAGGTGAAGGCTTTCAATCATCTTTCACAATTTCAGAGCCCATAAATTATCACTCGTCTGTTTCCTCAGATGAAAGGATGAGTGTTGCACGGATGCATTTTCAATGGTCTATGCTGTCCAAGATCATGCCATATACATAAAGCATCCACCCATTTCACTCCTGGTAACAAAAATTAATGGCTAGGTCTCCTGACTTACTGGATAGGGAATTCCACAAGGGTATCAAGTTTCTCCCGGGAGAATTTGGTGTAAGAGAAACGCTTGAGGTGAATAATCAGAATCTCCGGTAGTGACCATAAATCCAGCTTCTTGGTGGCAAGTTGGTGTTTTTTGCAGGTGGGACAATACCTGTAACAGACAAACCCATAAGCCTGACACCTTTTCTTTCAGGAGAATTAGCATTCCACAAACCCCCCCCCCCCCCCCGCACTCTTGAGAGAGAAGATTTAGCATAGAATGATCCGATAAACTGAGAGCTTATCATATATTCCACAATCTGTTGGATTTTCTATTTAATTTGGATTATTATGAAATAAGATCCACATGGATTTATTTGGCTCATGCAGCATTCTTGTTTTGTTACCTTTATCTATTGAATTTTGAAGTGTTGACCAGCACTAAGTCAGCATCCAAACACCTCACACCCTTTCCTGCTATCTCAATGGAAGAGGCTCTATCATAGACAGATTTTCAATTCTCACCAGGGATTTTCCTCTTCCAGTGTTTCCATGGTAGTGAACAACTCAATGCACTCCTGCAGCTTTACGGGGTTCTTCTTTGGCGTATAGCCCATAGAGTCATGCTTGACGTAGCCCTAAAGGGAAGAACATTAATACATGATGGATATAAAGAGATCAGAGGCTAATTTCTCCAAGGCAGAAAGGAAGAGCAAGGCTGTTTTCACATTTATATCTGAGAACATTTTTTGAGAGTCCGAGATTACATTAGGTGTTACTTTAATATCCGTACAACTCCTGTAAGACTGATAAAGGGTGACTAGCCTAAGACCTCCTGGTGAGATCTGTAGTTGAGTCTATACTTGGAGCTAGATTTCACTACAGTAGTCTGGGTTGCAGAACTTGAGCACAATACTACATGAAAAACAGAAAAGAGAGGGTTCCTACTTAG